AACTCATTCGGTGATTGGGCTGTGTGGCGCATCGTGAAGCAGCGTTAGGAATACGCTCGCCACGCATCTACTATTACCCTGCGTGGGTTCTTAGGTTCGAAACCCGAAGGGAAGATTATGTGCGAGAGGATTGCTGGGCGACTCGCCGTAGGGTGTTTCATGTAACCGTTGGTCAGTTATGGCTTCTTTCACCATCGAGTCCATGCATCTGAAAAAAAATAACTGGCTAACCAGCCCCATACTCGACATGGTCTGGTAACCGGACAAAAGGCCGTTGTTCGCTATTTAATTCGTCTTATCGACTTTCCTCTATCCCGGGATAAATATGTAATCACATGACTTGGTCATGTTTTGCGATTTATTCATACTAGTCACTCAACCTTTTTTTGTGGCACATTTTCCTTACAGAAAATACTGTACAGAACTTTCCGTGCAAGGGACAAACAAGAAGAAAATCAAAAAACTATGTCCGCAAAAATAGACACTTTCCCTTAATAATTAGAATGAAAATTACCCTTCAGTAACAAAAAACAGTAATATCGTTCATCACCATTACAATCAAAATTTAACTATAGTGACACAAATGACAATGAATTTATCAATAACTCTAGCAATTTTTAGTGGTTTGTGGCCCATCTGAAAGTGTTGCAGTGCCCCAGCAGTTGGATATGGCCCACTGATTGAGAATCGGTGCACTAGATAGACGCGCCAGGCTTGTCGTGGGAGGGCAATTTATTGATAGCTCTGAATATGGGAACCAAACAGTCTGGAGCATTAGAGGTAAATATTCCATATTTAAAAATAATTTACATTTTATGGTCATGTTTTCTGTTCATTCACACGAGACAGACCTCGACGCCCCTTTTGCCGTGATATTGGAACTTGAGCTCGCAAACAAATTGCCTACAGATTTGGCAACTGATTTATCCTCTGTGGCGTCCTCTGGTGACGAAACCGAATTATTACTAATCGTAAAGACGCTGGATGTTCGTTCAACCGCCATACGAACCAATTTCCATTGCCATCTTTTAATTAAAAATTCACACCCATGAATGGGGAGAATGAAAAGTTTAATGCTTTCATATTTTCAAATTTTAAGCAATTAAATGTGGTGTTGTTTAGAGAGAAATTCTGAGCTCAAAAATATGAAGGGGCCTCTCATGGTCTAAATCCAGCCCTGAACATCACCAATCTTGGGATAGGTACCGTACATGGTAGGTACCGTCAACATATGAACTGAGTTAGGCCATTGGATTTTGAAAGGTGTACCAGAAATGTACATAGAATTCATGAAATATATAACATCCAATTAAAACCAAAATAGGTCTTTCGTTGAACGCCAGTTGTGGTCCCGGTACCGGTATTCCAGTATTCTGTTATCACAAGCAGTTGGAGCACATATCCCACAGAGCACGGCGCGTTGGCAGAATCTCATGGTCTAGTGACAATGACGTCATCGGAAACACCGCGCTCATTAAAAGTTTCAATGAACGATTATTAAAAATCTTGACCATGTTTATCATAATAAAAATACCAAAATAGATGTAAAAAATATTCTATCCTCAAAACTGCTCACGTATACAATGAACGATATCTAGAAAATTACATAAAATGCAAATTTCTGCTCTGGTGATCACATTCCCCATAAGAGCTAATGTTAAAAAATATTTTTTTACATCCCTTTTTTTTTTGCGCGTAGGATGGGTTTTCAAGGAATAAGGTCTATTGAAATAGCATTTTGCCACAGTATAAATACGGACGTTTTGGCTTGATTAAGCTGTTTTTATTTTTATCCCATTCTTTTTCAGTTCCATCGTTTTGCGAATGGTATCCACCAATTGAATGCAATTCAAACAGTGGCATAGTATGTAACTCACTATCAGAGTCCGCTGATGAACAAGGAACATCACTGTCAGTCTCAACTTTGCATTTTCCATGCTCTGAAGACATCTCATACATTTAGCAAAAATTACCGCAGAATCTATTTGAAAGTATATCAAATTTCCTATTTGTTCCTAAACATAGACATCGCATATACAAAACATGCTTTCAGTTGTTCAATTGTGTACAATATGACCCAGGTATTCATTTCTCATAAACTGGCACAGAAGGGAATATTCAATTACTCAACTGTTATATGTTCATGGGCTTATTTTCCAGTAGCGTGCAAATGTGAAATATATGTTTCAGTAAACCCTACCTAAACCAGAAAGCCTTGCTCGTCGAAAAGTGTCCTAACGGTACCAGAACGTCCCAAAACTAGATGCAAACAGGCTGGTTTGAGTGTGCCTATATCAAAATTACTCAGTTTAGGCAAAACCAAAATCTGCGTAAGTCCAATGGACTTATGCCAGTGCTTCAGGTCGATGGGGTTAGGGTCAGTGATACCTCATCGAGCAAACTCCGCAGACTTTTAATATTTTGCAAATACAAGAAGATTTGTCGGCAGTCATGCAAGATAAATGGTTGTCTGATATTTCCTAGGCCAAGAGTCTGTATGAAGTCGTATATATATACATATATATATATAGATTATTCGGCGGTTTGGGGGACTCATGCAAAACACGATGTTAGGGAAACACCATGAAGGCGATGTGCTGAAAAACTTTAAATGGTACGAGACGCTTATACGGAGCGTGGCATTTTATACTCTGCATCGGTATGAGAAAACTGAATGGTTTAGACTTTAGAACATAGAAAAAATGTCCCCTCAAAAAGTCTCCGAATTATTTTGCCACTTTTACATCGGACAATATATATTTATATATTTTCCACTTTTTTGGTGGAGCGGGATCCTGATAAACCATTCCGGAAACTCGAGGAACTTGTTCGCAGTACTAAAAGTGGCTGTAGGAATTGTATAAATTATAAATTTATAAACAGGCCTCAAACTCTTTGCTGGGTCAAAGTTGATTTATCTGTGTGGTGTATTTATTACGTCATACATCGCATGACTACTCGTGCGATTTGCCCACACGTTTTGTCCTTGGCAGGAGTCTTCGCCCAGTAGTTGGTTTGAGTTGTTTATTAAAGGGAGGGGTTGAGAATACAACAATCTGGCTCTTGTATTGTTTTTATAGAGTGCTAAAATATCAAATATATACCCTCCCGGACAAACGCACATTTTGTTTTTACGTACTTTTATTTGAATTATCAACAGTACATTCGTCAGAAACCCTGGCCTCCCTCGCGCAGAGAGGGGGGAAACGGCTTATCTATCTGAGCCAGCCCTTCAAAGAAATGAATAGATAAATACTCAGCGTATGATCTACATTCAAAGGCATCCACAATATTGAAAACTTTTCAATCTCAAAATTTGCTGGAACATTTTGCAATATAACATAACAAAAAGACATGGATAATCAGAATCTTATTTACTATAATATTAATATATCTAACAGTTCATACAATTTAGATTGGAACTGAATAGGTCCAAGTTTTGGATCAATCGCGTTACAAGATTTCGCAACACTCGCAAACAACAAAGTATAGATTTTGGTTTTCAGTGCTTTCGGGACATGCTTGCGTTTAAAAAAGCTTTTCATTAAACTTCCGGGACGTCCTCTATGAAGGTTATCTTAAACGTATTAGTATTCAGATAATATTTTTTGGACGCGTAACGAGTGTGCTTATAATTAGCCTAAACACGAATTTTATTGAGAGAACCAAAGTTTTAAATGTATTTTTAGTGTCTCAATCGTTTCTTGGCATGTCTGCGTTTGAAAGAGTTTTACTTCAAATTTTTGGGGAGTGTTCTGTGAATTTGCCTTGTGCATGTCAGTATTTTGAGAATACTCTTAGACACGTAACGAGTGTGCTTATAATATTATATACCAAATTAATTACATGTTAAAAATATAGGTGAATATAAATGTTCAAAAATAATTTTTTTTATTATAAATTGTCCTGTTTTTTATTTTATTAAAAAAAAATTTATTATAAATAGCTGAAAATATCTTACTCAAGAATGTCAGGAATGTCGTGCGAGTTACTAATTATGTGTCAGAAAGTTAAAAAGAGATTTTTTTTTCTCTGAATGTGGTTGAAAGATAACAATTCAATAGGATATCAAGTTCATTGAAATATTCGGGTATTGGTATCAGACCACTGGGAGAACCAAGATTATTAAATGTAGATCGTGGTTCCCTGGCATCCTTGCGCTAAAGAGTTTTTCTGTTGTCAGCGTTCAAATCATATTTTTACAAGTAACGAGTATCTAAAATTATAGTTATATAAGAATTTGGAACATATTGAACATAAAAAAAGATAATAAAAATGTTGGAAAATAATTTCATATTCAAATTTCCTCGGTGCCTAATCACAACCACCAAGTCAAGAATGTCGGAAATTCGCTCAAAAGTGCGAAATACTATCAATGTGCCAGGAGGTAAATAGAACATCCTATTCCACAGAGAAAATTAGCGAACAAATTAGGTTCATCTCGTTTGAGCATGACGGCGATTCATTAATGTGCTGAGGGGTAAAGGTAACAAACAACTTATTCGGTGATTGGGCGGTGTGGCGCATCGTGAAGCAGCGTTAGGAATACGCTCGCCACGCATCTACTATTACCCTGCGTGGGTTCTTAGGTTCGAAACCCGAAGGGAAGATTATGTGCGAGAGGATTGCTGGGCGACTCGCCGTAGGGTGTTTCATGTAACCGTTGGTCAGTTATGGCTTCTTTCACCATCGAGTCCATGCATCTGAAAAAAAATAACTGGCTAACCAGCCCCATACTCGACATGGTCTGGTAACCGGACAAAAGGCCGTTGTTCGCTATTTAATTCGTCTTATCGACTTTCCTCTATCCCGGGATAAATATGTAATCACATGACTTGGTCATGTTTTGCGATTTATTCATACTAGTCACTCGACCTTATATTCGTGGCACATTTTCCTTACAAAAAATATCGTACAGAACTTTCGGTGCAAGGGACAAACAAGAAGAAAATCAATGTCCGCAAAAATAGACACTTTCCCTTAATAACTAGAATGAAAATTACCCTTCAGTAACAAAAAACAGTAATATCGTTCATCACCATTACAATCAAAATTTAACTATAGTGACACAAATGACAATGAATTTATCAATAACTCTAGCAATTTTTAGTGGTTTGTGGCCCATCTGAAAGTGTTGCAGTGCCCCAGCAGTTGGATATGGCCCACTGATTGAGAATCGGTGCACTAGATAGACGCGCCAGGCTTGTCGTGGGAGGGCAATTTATTGATAGCTCTGAATATGGGAACCAAACAGTCTGGAGCATTAGAGGTAAATATTCCATATTTAAAAATAATTTACATTTTATGGTCATGTTTTCTGTTCATTCACACGAGACAGACCTCGACGCCCCTTTTGCCGTGATATTGGAACTTGAGCTCGCAAACAAATTGCCTACAGATTTGGCAACTGATTTATCCTCTGTGGCGTCCTCTGGTGACGAAACCGAATTATTACTAATCGTAAAGACGCTGGATGTTCGTTCAACAGCCATACGAACCAATTTCCATTGCCTTTGTGCGTTGTTATGTCGTTTTGACGAGGTACGATCCTCGGTTTGAAACCCGTGGCTGTCGTCGACACTGGCAATCTTAGCTGCATGGGTATACGGGGCAAGTATAATCTTCCATCTTGAAAAGGACGAGATTACCGCAAGCAAGTTTACGACTAAGTTGAAATCGTAAAGCAGTATTGGAACTATATTATAGGGTTCATTAATAGTTATAACTAATATAGAAACGACTAGGTTTGTGATTACACACACAAGACAAGCCGTTAATGATCGTTTAATTAAAGGCATCAGCTTGTGCGCTTTATCTTTATATAGTTTGTGGAACTTCATTAAACTTTGTTGCCTTGATAACGGGTAGATGAACAAGCCAATGAATATGATTTGGAAAACTGCGGTTGTGATTCCGTAAACAACCCAGGCGACGTAGGCAGGAATTGATGTTGAATTGACATCACACCCGAGGCCGCTCCTGGAATAGAAATGGAATAAAATCCAAGTTACGAGTTGAGGATATATGTTGGCTAAGGGTGTATGCAGCCCAAAATTGGAGGGGGAGGTCATTTTTTCATACGACGCGATAAAATTGAATATATATGGAGGTTCGATGTTGCATTGACGCTCATGACACTATCACCATTATTGTGTGATAAATGAGAAGTACAATTAGAATTATGTTGATAAACACAAAAGCGAAGCGTAAAATTGCTTGCTGTGACGCAAGTACTAATCTCGAAGAAGCCTGGAGTAAAATCACGCGACGCTAGGCCAAACAGCTGATTAGCAAAGGCTAATTAGAATCGAGGGTAGAGTAGATTAGATATTGATACTAAAGGCCTGTTGTCACAATATTACGCCCAACTTTACTTCTTAATCGTACCTTTTTCTCTTCGTTGTTAAAAACAGCTTTATTAAGTTCTGGCAATCGTTACCCCGTGAAAATTTTCCAGAACTGAGAAAATTTGCCCAGGGTTTTATATGTCGTTTCGGAACGACATATGGATGTGAACAAACATTTTCTGCCATGAAACTAATTAAAAGCAAAGCGAGGTCAAGACTTACAGATTTAAATTTGAAGAATGCACTGCTCCTCTCAGTAAGAACATTAACTCCAAGAATAAAAAAATAAACTGGCGAAAGTAAAACAGCAGCAAAAGTCTCATAAAGGCGGTACTTAAACAAAATTGATCAGTTTTGTTTATTATACTTCCTTGCTTAATTTCCATTCATGTGAAGTTGTAAATTGTAAAAACTACATATACGTGTGTATATATGTGTGTGTATTATAAATTTATATAATTTCAACAAGAAGCGGACATTAGGCGTGGGAATACAAGAGATTTACGGCGCATCTGAAACATTATGTTTTAAAACGGGGTTGGCCACCCCTGCTGTAAAGGGATATGTATGGACACTAATATATAGGGTGCTCCCGAAGTATTCATACCTAGATGGCGCGCAACCTGAACATGGTACGTGTACCAGGTTAGGGTTATTCAGGTTGTGCGTCATCTTGGTACAAACACTATCGCAGCGCCATATATAGTTATAGAAGGCTAGTAGTAAAACACAAGATCATTTTATCGTTCATACCTCTTGTATTTTCTTGTGAAGAACAGCCCCGTCGTCAGGATTTCAGCAGCGAGTAACGCCGCTAGGCTTGCCCAACTAAAAAAGTGCGTCAGTGTTGAAGTAAGATGGCTCATTAGGGCGTTGTTGTAACACATCCTTTGCCTTATCCATAGGAACAGGTAAATCGCACAGAAAAACAGACCAGAAAACACGAATTTTGTTTGCACGACTTGATTACAATGTTCGTATGTTGTGTTGACTTCAATCAAAATTTCTGCGTGTTCAAGAGCCGTTCTGCAGAGAAATATAACCGCTGCAGCAATGTTTACTGATCGTAAGTATATTCCGTATCGTTTTGATGATCCTTTGCTAGCGAGAACCAAACTCACACTTTCATGTTTCCGTTTTAGGTACGCAGACCGTTCATATACAGTCAGAGCTATTAAAATGTAAAGTCCGATTACTGTGTATATCCATAATGATACTTGTAGTACAGTCGATCTGATTCGATTTCTTTCGAGTTGGTCAACATCAGTAGAATTGCCAGATATGCTCCAGTCATCTTCCTCAAACATATTCACATTTTAGAATAATTTATAGGCTTCGGAAAATAACACTATAATATGCTATTAAAATACGAATATAACTGATGGTTAGTGTTTGTTCACGACGCTTAATGAGCAGCCTTATCTCCGAACACGGCCATGTGCAAGCAACCACTGATATCTAACAAATATGTAATGAGCTACTATAATTTGGAATGGACCAAAACCTTTTCTGGTTCAGCATCGCCTGCCAAATTCATTACACCCTTGGTTAGGTGGTGGACATGGGATTTGAACCCGGGATGTGTAATCTGCGATCAGGGGTGTGGCCAGGAATTTTCAAAGGAGGGGGGATATGGAGTTTCTAATTGCCAAGTTGGAAGTAACAGCTATAACGGGTCCGAAGGACGTGAATTTTCAACAGCCTTGACGGTCTAAAAAGCATTTTCAGCTACGAAAAATTACTATGTATGATACAGAAAAATGGACGCTCTAGATTAGAAGTATGCGTACCAATATGCAGGTAACTAATTTTGTTCGCCTCATTTACATCAAGATGTATACAGGGACTAATCATTATGGGCAGGGATTGCATCCACTTGGCTAACATAGGCAACCGTCGAACTCTTAATATAACTAAAATGAGGAAAATCGTAATAAAATTATGGCCTATACCTAACCCGGTATACATACTACGGGAGTATCGAAAAATGCATGTCTATACGCTAGTCTAGTCGAAGTCCGGATTCCTATCTAGTCGAACGGTCTGTTAGACCTGCGTTTCAATTAATTTACCTTTTAGATCATGCAAAAGGACACCGACCAAGGAGCCAAGTCATGTCAGCGTCGTATGCCAAACAGATCCGACTATTTTCAATGAAGAGTTGAATTATCTCAACTAAATCAACTTAATTAAGCCTTGGCTGAATTATTTCTCAAATCGTTCTAGCTAAGTCTTTTAATGTGCTTCTGGAAATTTTGATTCGGGAGAAAAAATTTAAAAACAATCTCTTCACAAGTCTTGTGCCATTTCAGCTAATAATTTCGACTTCGACTCTATAAGTCTGAAATCGGTCACGTAACTTCATGTAATAAACAAATTTTGTGTCTGAACTATAAAATATAGCAATAGAATCTCATCTTCGACTTGAAATTTTAATTTTATATCACATGCGTCTGTTTCTAGACAAAACTTGCTGGCAACTCTTTGCAGACCTTTCAAAACTCAGCAATGGCGTTGCAATTCTAATGAAGAAAGAATATATGCAAAACGCAGGCTATATTATACGCAAATTATGACAATAAATTTAAGAAAAAAAATTTCAATAATTAAAAACATCCGGTCAATGAATGTCTATATTGAAATTCATTCGCCAGTGCCAAGAAGACCCGCATATAAATCTAATTTCATAATTACTCAAAATTAGTTTCAAAGTCCCGTTCTCAATAAGCAGTCAATGATAAGAGTTTTCGGTAGATCAGAATCTTTATCAAATATAACTCAGTATATTACAATTTTGGTTGCACTCTTAAGTAACTTGCTGGCGGTGAATGGCTCACAAGGATTTGTTCAGAGAGAAAGGCGCGGATAATTTTGAGTTGTGGATATAAAAAATTTAAATGTAAAAAATTGCCAATTCACAGTTTTATGCCTATATTTTGGTGTTTTCTTGCACGATTTTTGTACATTTTTAGCAAGGTTTTTCACGGTTAGGGGTTCTATAAGAAGCTATGAAACACCTTTCAAATATACCCTAGGAAAAGGGGGGTTAAATTGCAAGCGGCCCACATAAAAATATTCTGAGCATGAACTAGTACTTTCTCTCGTTCTGTATGTTTATATACAGGAAAATTTCGCCCGATTTTATAGTAATAACAATTGAAATTTCTTCTTTATTGAAAGTTCTTATTGTGCTTGCAGTTCTCATTTATCATACAATAAAATTTATTCAAACTTTAATTGGTATTACTATCAAATCAGGCGATATTTATGGACACCCTGTATATATAAATATCAATGTGTATGTCGCGCTTACTGAATTATGCTAGCTGTTGCGCTAGATAAGTGTTTCCCAACCCGAGTCCGCGGTCTCAAATGAGTCCGCGGAGCGCTTGAATGAGTCCGCAACAAGCCAGAAATTCACGGCAATATATTCTCACATTATTATAGTCGCAGATTGACGTGCAATTTTAAAGAAGTAATGATTTCATCTTGTCGTACGTGAGTCGACGCAACCGCGAGTTACCATGAACACGATTAAATTAAAAATCAAGAACATTTTAAATTCTCGTCGTTGTCATGGATTGAATATTGTGCGACAGAAACGGCCATTATACACTGAAAAAATCGGCTCTTTTAACGAACGCGTAATTGCGCGAATTTCCGATTTTGAAATTTGTTAAAATTCTGTTGTGTTTGGTTTTATTGCTTTTTCACACAGAGTACGGTTGCAATAAACGCACATTGAGTCCGCAAAGATTTTCGCCGATGAGAAAATAGTCCGCGACCAAAAAAGGTTGGGAAACGCTGCGCTAGAGGGTAATGCTGCAATTATCAATATTTCTATTTATAGTACATTCATTAAATACCAAGGAGAAATTGTTTCCGCAAATATTATGAACCGAACAGACAACCATTGCATAAAATGATCAATCATTGTCGAAATATCGATACCCACATTTAATAAACTTTGAATAATTTTTTTATTCTCTTTTTGAAGGTTATACTGTATGACATTAATGGGGTATGATACAAGTGTAAAAGGTCATCGACATGAGAATTTATGAATGGCATTGTTTTATGGTATCACCTTTTTATGCAAAGCATGTCGAAGTATCGATACCAATAATTAATTAATTAAACAATTAAAAATAATAAATAAAATATTAATAATAAAAACATTAAACAATAAATAAATAATAAAAATTAACAAACTTCAATTAAATTTTTTTATTCGCATTTTAAATGTTAGATTGAATGACATCATTGAGGTTGGATGCAAGTTTGAAAGGTCATCGTCATGGCTCATGAGAGATTATGAATGGCGTTTTTTTATTGCATTTCATTTTTGTACAAAGCGAACGTGTCCGCATTCACAAAAATCAATTGATTTCATCAATCAAAGCTAATTGCAAATGAGATACCGATTCTTTGTGCCGGACTATTTATGGGCCGCTTTTTGTTATTCGCTGAAAACTTCGAGAGTAAGAGTTGCCTCTCGTTTAACCCTTATATTATTCATGACAATTTTGCAGATGAATTGCAAATATAATGTTGCTCAACTTCATATTTTTGTCTGGCGCTCGATAGGCCGCTTTTTGTTTCAGCTGACAAAGCCAAGAGTATGTCCATCCTTATTCATTTGCCCGACTTAGGCATGAGGCCTTGGTTCACTATGTATCTGGGTTGAAGTATCTTTACCGAAGTAAATTTAATACTTCTATTGGATAGAGCGTGGACGCGTAAAAAGTTTTGAATATAGATTCTTTATTATTGCGTCTTGTGTTTATACAAAGCAAACGCGTCCGCATTTAAAAAATCGCTGGATTTCACAAATCAAAGCCAATTGCAAATGAAATACCAAAAAGGTTATTATTCGAATAAATTTTCCTATTACCTACTGATTTCATATGTCGGGCTATCTATAGGCCGCCTCATGTTTTCAATGGTGTTCACTGTAATTGAAATAGGGTAAAGGAGCGAAATTTCTTGTAAAATATCGGGCCCCATATGCCTCCGAAAATATAAATAAAAAATAGTAGAACCTCCCAGCGATTTCTTCCACTTTCATGTAATTTTAAATCGGCTAGCCATTATTCGCGAAGAAAGGCGAATCACAGTTTTCTCTGTGCCTGCCCAGTAAGAAATACAGTTTGAGTTAAGTCTACACAAGTACGTCAAGTAAGCTGACTTGACAACTTTCTACTTTCCCATGTTAATCATGTCTGCAATTGTCGGCAACAATATACAGATTTCAACCTCACGATTTTTGAACGATGTCACATTGATTAAACATAGGGGCAATACTAAATGGGTGACAATTGGAATGGTTGGGCCAACTAACACGGTTTGCACATAGTGCATCGACACAACCTTTCATTTAAAAAAAATAACTGGCTACCTACCTACCTGGACTGGTAATCGGACGAGAGGACGTGGGTCCGCATACGATTTATGCGTCCAATGGACTTTCTTTTCTCACGGGATAAATATGAATATTCTATCATAATCTTTTTTGTTATTAAATATATACTCTGACTGCCCCTTCACTAGAGTCCGACGCCCTTGGATAGCATAATTGAACTTGCCAACGTAAATACCTGAAAACAGACAAATGGACTTTGCCTGGAAATTGAGACACAAAAACGCACCTCGTTAAAAATAATATCCTGCCAAACGCCCTTCCTTGTCAAAAGTCCCCCAGTTGCCCTTGATGATAAAAATATCTAGGGATAGCCAAAACCGAATAATTTAGTATTTCGAATACATTCTAAAATCTTTTCGTATGAGAAATTCTTTAAGACTATTGCAAATTCTGAGACATTATATTCGATTATGCAAAATATTTGAGATTAATGTTGTTTCAAATAGTTTTCTCTATTTTATTCTGTCAGGATTTAACTAATTTTTATCTATCATAAAATAAGAAATGATTAGAAACGATATTTTTAAATAACAATTATCTCTATAATCAAGAATTTGATAAGTGTTATAACCAATTTCGAATGTATTCGAATATTCATTTTGAATTCGACATCCTTGTAAATAACTTAAGACGGAAATTATTAAACTTATACATATTGAGATACAGAGTCACACTGAGTTAGTAACAAAATATTCTAACGGGCCGTGACAAAAATCCTTTATCGCCCTTGCCAGAACTTTAATGCCGATATAAATAACTAAAAGCAGACGAAATGAACTTTTCACAGATCACAGTAAAGCTGCCCCAGACAGAGGTTCTTTAGTATAGCCCGCATATTGTTTAATTTACCGACATAAATGAATGAAAAATAGACCATATGGTTTTCTACAGATCAAAAAAGAACTCCTATT